TGTTACGCGTGATAAGGTTATTTTTTAAATGATCTTTGCCTTATCATACAATAGTGGTAATATATCATAACAGTAGTCTATGTAAGTACGGTGAGTACATTTTTTTTGTATTGAGTTAATTAGGATTATTTGATTGATGATTTAAATACTAGTTGTATTTCTGATAAAATAATTGTTGCTAACACAACCTTAGAGCTGCAAAGAACTTCATAGTATAAGAAATTGTATCAATATTATAATCAAAAAATATTAAATGGAGAAAGGAAAGTAACATTCACCATCATTTAAGTTAGTTAAGAATCCTATAAAGGTTAAAACTTAACTAGGACCAAGACCAACTTAGTAAAGTATTAAAGAAAATTGATCGTGATCCGTTGACATTCCCTTGAAGGCGGCTAGAATCGACACAAATGCGAATATTGCAGATACATCACGAAATTCCAATAAAATATACCTTCCCGTACATAAACAAGGGCGCCAACTTCAGCCAATACGACAATCAATGCGACAGAGGATAGGGATGTACTCAATGTTATATGAATATCTTTTAATATGATGTTTAGTGATTACGTTGTAGTTAATTGATAAATATGTTTGAATTAAAAGCTTACTGTTAAACTATACGCTTTTAATATATAGATCAAGAAACATGAAACGAATGTAACACATATTTTTACCCCGCATTGAGCATAATTTCAGGTTCTGTAGCTTTTCCAAAATTTAAAAATACTTTGCTTATTAAGTATCTAGTTTGGAACCTTTTGCTAAGTTGTAGCGCTTGGGTCTACTCGAACAACGAAACCGTTTTTGTCGTTGTAAGACATTCATTAACTATGTTTTAATATTCAGTAACGATTTTATTACCGTCAATTTTTGTGAAGAACATCCCTAGAGGACACCGAAAACGGCGCGCGATGTAACATCGGGGACGAGTGATTCCGAGCGCTCACGATTTTGCCCGAATGAAGTTGTACTATGTCTGTCTATCTGTTCGGTTGTGTGTCGCGGCTGCTAACGGTACGCGCGATTTATTGCCTATGTCCATACGTCGATATAAAGGGCCATCGTTTATTTTTTGAAAAAATAATAGAATTGTCACTTTTTGGGATGAAAAATGTTCGAAGTAACGATAGTAAAGACATGCCGTTGTGTGCGAGATGATCCTTGCTAAGATAACCGAGAATATGTAGGTATTTTAAATGAGATGTGTGTGTATGTGATCATAGGCCTAAACTTACAAAATGAGGCAACGATAACTCTTTATCGACACGAACAGACGTAATGGTAGTAGAAGAAAGTTTTGTAAGTTTGGTAGCTAATAACTAAAAATCACCCGCTACTTTAAGAAGTCTCTTTTTATAAAGAACTAAGTTGTACTACACCTAACTTATTCATAATAATCGCGGAGAACCTAACGGGTTACCGGGGCTCCGACTCGAACTGCAGGAGAAGGAACGGGGTGGTTTTTAGTCAGTAAGTGTCTGACACTCCTTCCCGCCTCAGTCAGGTGGGAGCATTCATTCGATAATTTTCTCTCTTTAAAAAAAACCTATTCATAATAAGTAACAGCTATTTTTCTTCTCTATAAAACAACAGCATAAATGCTTAACATCGTGATACAATTGTTACAATAATGTCACATAACTACCTGGCAATTGCATAAAACTAAAAATAATGTAAAATTGCTACAGCACTTTGTATGAAACGGAAAGTAAATCACACACGCGATGGTGTACCTACAATCCTACATAGTACTCTTTGTTGGTGCAAGGAGGTTGTATACTTGTGTCACGGTAGGGTTCACCGGGGACGAATCGGATGGTGGATCATATCTAGCTGGATCGTACATCATAACTGTGTATGGCACTGTTATTTTTTTGGAAACGAGAGGACAAGAGAGCTTTATAAGACTAAGTAGACTTTCAAGTATTTTTTTATATGCAGATATTATAAAAGGACATAAAGATTTATTTCGGTAATCTGTTATGTCCATCACATAAACAGTAAATTTAGGACGTTAAAATTTGAAAATATTTGATTTCAACTCAGTAGTTTTCCCAGAATTTTTACGATTTCCATATAATTTTCGGAAACGCCTGCAAGCATATTCTCCGTTTGACCTTCGTCTCTCCGGCGGCAAGTGAGCACGAACCTTAAGTTCCACGATTATGATGCTTGTATCCATTAGGTGGCATTATGGCTGCGTGGGAACTGGACTGAGCTGGTAAGGACACAGAATACCTAGGTTTTAGTCAAGATCTTAAACCGAATAATGACGGTACATTTCATTGGTCACTGGCTTTACTTCCAGCGGGTGTCTGACTACATATTTAATAGAAACTGGGTAGTAGCATTCTCTAATAAACTGGATCATATTTAACTGACTTCAAAAAGAAAAACTGTTCCCATTTTGGCCTATATGTTTGTATGTTTGTGCGCGAATATCTCACGATCGGCTGAACTGATTTTGATGTGGTTTTCAGAAAAGTGTTGGTTACACTTAGACGAAGGTTTTAGTATATTAAATAACAGACTTCAAAAGAAGAGGGGATTTTGTCGGTTTTTTTAAATGTAGTGATTTTAAAATGATTTTTATAATAAGTCTCCAATCCACTTGCCAAGCACGGAGATTATGGCAAACCCTCTATGATAGAGGAGATCCATAGATCAACAGTGCACTCTCATTAGTTCATCAACAGATGATGATTCGAAGACCCAGTGTTAACTAATCTTGAGGCAGGCTAATCTTAGTTTAATTCTATGCAAGTTGAATTAGCTTTTAGCCTGGACGTAAAATGTTCGGGTTTTAATTGGAATTCAGTTTGAATTTTGTAGGGTTATGGAAGTAAACCATATAAGCTCGTTTAAGTTATTGTGAGAACATTGTATTCAATGTAAATAGTTTAAATGATTAGAAGTCACTATGTAGTTTATATTTGAAGTTTTCATAGTTATTTCACCGTTAAAACCAAACATTATTTTTGGTAATTTTCTATTTTCCAATTAAATAACAGAAATGGATCAAGGACGATTGTCAACGTTTGTAAAATCTCGATCAATAAACAATTACGTTGTAACTATTGCTATAGCTAATTCCAATCAGTTGATTAGTCAGTTACGCGGTCTGATAACCAACACTTTTTAATTACTTCACCAGATTTGTAGATTTTAAATGACTTGTTACAAAATTACAAGGCAATGATGCCTCAACTAAGTATTTCTAGCCCTAATTATGTTCTTTGTTAAATAAAAAAATAAATGAAATCGTCAATTACTCCTATAAAAATAAAAGTCAACATAATTATTTTATTTATTTAAATTGTCGGCTGACTTCACTAAATGTTACTCCAACTCCTATTTAAGTATTAACATAAAAACCTATAGTATTCACCGTGTAAGGTAATTGCGATCCTATAATTTTGATCGCAGGGTACATTTTTCTTAGTTACCATTTTCAGATCAAACGTTTGACCGATGAGGGGTAAAAAGAGTTATTTTTTTAAAATACTACTATAGTTTAATTAATGTACCTTATATGTGCAAAGCGGTTTACTTGAATGAAAGCAGATCAAGTAATTATACCGTTTTTTGTGACGAACGGCGTCGCTTAGTGACGGAATGAGTGACTCAACAAGTACCGCCAGTTGTTCACTCCATCCTTATACTTATAAAAGGGCTAGGCAGAATTAAAGGTGGCAAGGAACAAAAACATTTATTTTTACAATTATGTCGCAAAAGAAACTATGGTTTGATTGATGGGTAAGCGTTGTTATTAAAATTTAATGACCTGTGTAGTGTAAAAGCTCATTTGGTCTTTAACAATTCTAAGTAAGATACGAAATTGTCACAAACAGATGCCAACTAAAGATGTAGCTCTTTTCTTCACTTTAATGTGTCCTTATAAACAGTTTTTATAGTCAAGTGACAATTAATTCATTTGAATTGTAGTTCAAAAGGCTCATCTTAAAAAGAATTCGACAAAACCCACAAAAATATGAATCAGCAACATTTTCACTCTCCCTTAATACTAGGTAATACGTTTTTAAATGCTCAACAAATTTGTAACAAACGGCCAACGGTTGCGACAACCACGCGACTCCTGACAACCAATGGTTGTTGAGAAACCGATAATTCGACACCTGAGCAATTAGGAATTGTAAAGATACTTAATCGTTAGTCCGCGACGTTTTGAAATATTTACTTGAATATATTTTTGAACTGATTTTGAAGGTTTTAAATTGACTTTGATTGATGATTTCTATGTCAGTCTGTGGTGGATTGAAATTAAGTCATTTGCCGAAAGAGGTTGTGGAGTGTGGAGGTTTTTTTGTTGCAAAAAGTGGCAACGCATTAGGCGTAGTTACTTATTATTTATTGGCAAGTTGCTTGTTGTATTGAAAAGCAAAATTTACTTCTATTTAGGTCCTTTTTATAATATTTGCGTTGATGAAGATTAAAGTACCATTTTTCAAGATTAAAAAAAAAATCTCGAATGTTTCAGTTGCTTCATACATTAATGTATATGTTAACGAGAGAAACTTATAAATCATATGCAAAGTTTGGCTACAGAGATAATAGGTCGATTTGTAATAATTATCTTGCATAAAATTATCGATGGTAACCGCCGAGCATTGTGGATTGTCGGCACGCAACCGAGTAACCGACGGTATACGATATGGTTAGCAACCTACTTGGGTGTGGTTCTGTTAACCGTTTTAATTTATGATTAATTGTATAACTTAATGCGGCTGACTCGTCAAGATTTATAAATGTTTTATTATAAATTACTGAAATTATATTTAAAAACAAATTATAATTATCTAGGTCGATCTCATTATAATGGTGTGAGTTATCATATCATTGACTTTAACTTAACATTTTTTATAAGTTACTTTAAATATATCTTATCTTACATCTGCCATATCTGTTATTCTATAAATTACAAAAAATGAAATTTTGAACTATAGTTATATAAAATAAATAAATCAAAAGGTGAGTACCTCCATATTGAGAGAGGTCCTCGCCCAGTACTGCGATTGGCTGATGACGACGTTGATGAGTTACATAGAAATAAAAATAATTTATAATTAAAATAACGTAAAGAACTATACTAACTATAGCTATATGTATGTAAAATGAATGTTCTGTGACTTTAAATTCCAAGCGTGATTCTCATCTATCTTGATATATTTTCTTGCCATGCCATGCCCTTTCTTCTTGCCATGTGATATTAGTTTTTCCATTTAAGGCATTATAATTTACTCGAGAGATTTTAGATAATTCAGATAATATTATTCACTTATGATTTCATTTCCTATATATATCTACACACATCCAAATGATTCGCAAAGTCACAATGAAAAACATATTAAACTTAGAACCTAACTTAGGTAAGTAAGTAAGTACAATACGTCATAGTGAAATGAAAACACAGTCCTAATTTCATAACACAAAAGCGCACCACCAAATCATTTTAGTCTGTCGTGACTCAAGTACGTACGTCCGCACATACATACATATATGATTTAATCAAATAATAACCAATGACCCAATTAAATAAAACGTTAAATCGATTCAACACACAGAGGACTCGAACAATTGTCATTGTCCATTGTACATAAGACATTACGTGTCCTACGATAGAGCTTATGTTCTTATACCACACCGTGGGACCATTTCCCACGGAGACCGCATTGTCTTTCTCATTACTTGTTATTTTTTTAATAACACTTTATTATAAGCATAATGGTCAATTGTTCAATAGAATTTTTCGATTTTTCAACGAGGTCACTGTGATAGATCGCTGAGTTTAAGCTGGTATAACGTACGGTACGACTGTGTTTCCTTCAATTTTCACATGATTGTTTGATGGCTGAATCAATCGGTTGGTTTATTTGATTGATTGGTAATTGATAGGGTTTTTTATATGTGTGAATCTGGGAATGTGATGGATGTAGTATTGATGTATGTGATGTTTGTGTGACAGCTTCTGTAATTGGCTTGTAGATTGCGTCTTTACAAAATGTCTTGCTAATGATGACGCTAAGTACTTCTGAGTGATTGGAAACTAGCATCTTATATTGATCCGATTATATGGTAGAAGTGTTTCTAATGGCCAACATGACATACTCATATTTTATGCTGAAAGTGCAAAACAACCTAATTAAGCAATTAAGTGACTGTTTAAAAGTCATCTGTCAATATAAATTATTATTTACTTTATTTTCTATATAGTAAGACAGAAAATTCAAACTCTTAACTTCACGGGTTGAATATAATCACTGCAGTACAGTGGAAATCCAAGCGCATGCGCAGCCATATCTAGCCGGGTGGGTGTGTAAGTATTGGTTAAGTTTACTATAGTTGCCGATAGATGGCGTTCGTTGAACCTTTTTGTATAGATTTTACAAATAGTGTGTTTAAACTTTGGAATGACTTGTGATTTTATAATTCTTTAAATGATAAATTTTGAACTTTGACTTTTTTTAATAAGCTGTAAGTTGTTTATATCATGTAATAATATAGAGTCAGTTAAAAACTATAAAATTAGTTGATGATTTAGAATCGTAAATCAATAAATTAATTAGTGCTCATTAATTTATATCGAATCAGGTGTAAAATCATTTACTAATATAAATCTAAATTTACTAATAAGTCCGAGCATGCCTTCAGGGTTCAAAGGCCAGTATTTGGCCATAAAACCTTAACCATAGAACCTTACTAATTTCAGGTCGCCCACAAGTAACCAGTTAGTTTAACTAGGAGCAATTCTCAAATAATATTCGTTAACAACCACTGTAATTTGAACTTCAGTTAAAATAGTGCTAATTTCAGTTCTGAGTTCAACAGTAGCGCATTTACGTAAGATAAGGTTAAAGTCATAATTGGAGTTTCCTGAATTTTAGTACGCGGTTATATATAATGTTCGCCGGTGTGTATAATGTTCAGTGTTTGTGAATACTTACAGGATATTGTATAATATCGGGTTATGAAAATGGGCTGGTACTGAATACTATCGGGTTATTATTATATATAGGTTTTTGTTTTTATATTCCTTCGTTATTTATTAATAAAGCTTTTACTGACGTAAAATTTTACACAAAAGTTGCCGGACATCCAAAACATTTTATGGTATGGGGTTGACAAATCCATGTGAATAAAAACCTCTTACTGAATAAAGATTAAAAAAAACTTTATGGATTTCACAGAGAATTATTCCATGCGGCAATCGAATCGAACACATTGTGCAGCAAGTGGTCAACTACCGCGATACCGCGCTAACTATGTAGTCTAGTATTGTTTCTTCGTCCAAATGTATGTGTTTATACAGTCATTTAGTATAGTGGTTGTAGTAAAACATTTAAATTACCATTTAAGTTTTGAAAATCATGTGACCTATACATAATGAAAAGTGTGTTTCATGTTACACATAACATCACGTCTTTTATTCCCAAAGGGGAAGGCAGAGGTGCACAATACGGCACTTAATGCCACTGTACAATGCAACACTCACTTTTCACTATTTTATGTTATGAGTCGCATTTCCCATAACATGTTAAAAGTATATAAGTATAACGATAAAATGATCAGTGCTCTTTTTAGTGCAAATAATTTAATTTATATAAATTAAAATTACGGTTAATATTCGAAGTAGTTATCACACATGGTCTATATTTAAGATAACATTCATTATATTTTGTATCGCTGTTATTTTTTTTATATCAAATTAATGTTGTACAAGAAATAGGTGTTACTGCGAATGATATGTGACTTCAGTGTCATCGGTCACTGACGAAGCCTTAATGCGAAGCCTTTATCTAGCCTAGATCTAACGGCTTTTTGAAGATAATATAATGTGAATTAAAAACGTGTGTGTGTGTTATCTGCATGTGTTTAATTATATTTATTTTATTGACAGTTATGTGGCTCACGCTTTATTTTAGATGTTTGTGTTTAATTTTTGAAAAACATGTCTGACACTTGTTTTGTTTTTTTTAATCTATTTAAATAACAAACGTTCATATGCGCATACCCTATATCATAATGCGCATCACAAATCATTATTAATTTTCAGTGCGATATGATGAAAAACACGATCATTTGTTGCAAGATCCTACTGCCATCGTCCACCGACGCGCGTCGGACTGAATTTTCCGGTTGAATTGAGTCACCTACATCCGATATAACAAAACCACTATAGTTTCAGTCTCAGAAACGTTATTGACAAAATTAATTATCAACGCCCACGCATTAAATGTCTAGTCTAGATCTATTTTCCTTATCTATTATAGAGCCTTGATTGAAGATAATTGTAATACTAGACACGACGCATTTATCGCCACTTAGGATTATTAACTCCAATCTAACGAACTTAAATTAACAAAAAAGCGAAATAAAAATCAGTTCGACTATTTTCAGTACAAAAGACATAAACGCTCGGAACGTTGTTACTATTATTATCTGTCATTATTTTATTATATTCGTTCAATAATAATTAAAATAACAATGTCAGTTTCACACTTCATTTTGTAATGAATGATTTGAAAAAGAGAATTTATTGAAATTGTGGCATTTGGACGAGAATTCGTGGTGTCTGCATTTTTGCATGTTTAATATAAGCCGGCTTGGCAAGTATTTATATCATAATAATATAGAAAAATTACGATAAACAGATAGTGTTATTCAAATATAACATTGTATGTGGTAAGCAAGTATAATTTTAGCAAGATTTAAGCGCCGATATCTTATATTTGAGCCCAAAGATTTCAATTGTCTTATTAATTGAGTAATATTAATTAATTGTATTTGTTTAATAACCGATTAATGGTTAATAAATAATTAATAAAAGCAGACATTATGATAAAATTCATATAAACTCATAATAATATTATGGTTTGTCACATAATCACGTGCAAAATATTTCCTAAATTCCACACATCTGTAAAAATCGCTCCGTAATACTACGAAAATGGGCTTTTTGTATTTACTTGTTATATTTATTCATCGTTTAATAGTCTACGTTTATTGTGGATTTCTATAACATACGCTAAATTGTGTTTTATATTTTTAAAGCTTAAAATATTTATCTTACTAATATTGTTCTAAATGATAAAGTTTGTATGGATTTTTCGCGCAAAAAGTAAAGAACAGATCTGGAGAGTAAAGATAGATTTTGATCCGAAATAACATATAAGGTGTTCTATATCCCGGTAACACGAGCAAAGTAGTTATCAGAAACTAGTTAGTTTATTATATTAGTGTCGTTTAAATAACTTTTGTCATGAGTTAGGAAAATACAAGAGCGCAAGCTCGTTGATGTCTTTTGTAGGGAGTTTTCCCGAACTACGGCTACGGCAAATAAGGAGCACCCGTACCTTTACTACAAAATTGATGTAGAAGTTTAAAGTGATGATTTATTTATTTTGTAATCCCCTAAATATGTCTATTGTTGTACTGTTTAATTTTTCATTTAGTACATATATGAAAATTTGATGAAAATGAACTTATTAATTTCAATAGCATTTATTTAGTCTATTTGACCTAACGTTTAAATATATAAAACAAACACTGCTTACCTTAATATCTTTGGTGTGTGCACAATATTGGGCAACTGCAGTTTTCCGAAAAATCCCACTGTCACTTCACAATCAAATAATTTGCTCCCAATTTTTTAAGTCAATACAAATTTCACTAAAGCGACCCGCATACGTGGTACTTCAATTACGGATACTATCGATTTCAAATGTCACAGTCCAGTCACTTTCGATGAAAACAAACAAACGAAATGTCGCCGCGTCCAATTTACATGTGACGTATAACTGAAAACGCAAACTGAAACCGCGACGCTGCAACTACCGCACTGCTACGCTTACTGTCTCTGCTACTGACACATCATTATAACAGTTTTTATATAACAGTCTTTGACGAATGTTGCTCTAAAAATATTTTCCGAGCGGAACACTGGCATCTTCTATTGACGGGATTGAAATCGCGCGGCCGATTTCATTTTCGAAATTCAAAGATTTCCGAACACGGGTGGCGTGTGGCTGGAGCGGCGCGCGCGCACGAATGCTCACGGAGGTGGACTCAGAGCTTCGAACGCTGTGGGGGCGTGGCTAACTTCTAACGCAACATCTATCTCTCGTGCTGTCCTTGTCTGGCGTGGGGCGTAGGAGATGGTTGCGTCTCTTTCTCTATTACCGGTGCGTTACCGGTCCATAGGTACGGTTTGGTGGGATCGCGTGAACTTTGCCACTGCGCCTGCGCCCGAGCCTCGTACTGCGATTAATAAAACGATACGCGACGTTATAGATCGCGGTGCGATAATCGTAACTCCACAGTTTAATGCGTCGCGTCGCCTTTTAAATACAACATATGCGTTTTTGTTTTTAATGCGAGTCAGTAATTATTTAATGTCCTGCGATCAGTGCGGCCATTGACAACCATTATATTTATGAACGTTACCTATTTCATATTTTGTAATAAAATAATTTTTATTTTATGTACCTTGATCTTATGTAAAACTTTATTAAAGTTAAAGTTTACTTAATTCAATATATTTTATCGATCGTTTATATTATGTTGCAGTTAATTTTATTTTATTATTACCAATTACTGTGAAGTTCTGTCATACTGTATTATTGTTTCTAGTTTATTGGTCTCTACCATATATTGTTGTCAATGGTTTTAAAGTAAAACAGAACATTTCTCCAGACAAAGTAAGTACCTATTTGGTACCAACGTTTAAAGATAAAGAAAGGACCTTAAAAATGGACTAAAAATCTAAACAAAGTCACCTACCGTAATAAAACTTTCTTCTAACAATAAAAAACCGTTAAAAAGTAATTGCTGCGAAACTTTTTAAGTAACAAATGTTAACATTTTTGTGTTTCGAAAAAAGATGAAAAAAAATTATCTTCGTTTAGTTACTTACTGATTTGTTTGCCGACGTGATGATAATATATACATATATATATATACATATATATATTTACATCCTAGAATCGATTTGGCGTCACGCACGTCGCGCATCATTATGACGTCCCCCAGTTCCCCTTAATATTTTTAATATGTCTTGATGAATATTGCTTAGTTATTCGATTTCCAGCTTTGTAGGATACGTCATTTTCCGATAATTTTATTTTTCGCGATATTCTTCTTGCAGTCATGCTGCAACATTTTTGAACCCCAAACAATGGTGATAACAAATTGGAGTCCTAGATATATTGATCGAAAATGTAAATAAATCTAATTGAATAAAATCGGACTCCAAATAATACGCAACACATCCGAATCTACGACGGTGAATATTGTTTCGAATGCGGTAGATAATATTATGATCTATTGAGACAGATTTAATGAGCGAACTGGCAACGTCGCTGTTATTTTTTATGAGGACGCCAAATAGGCGGAATTATAGTCAGAAAATCCCAAAAATATACAGCTGTGGATATACGCGCTACAGCAGCGCTCTAGCCGCGCTGAGATTTCTTTGGGAACTTTTCAAAATACTATAACAGCCATTGAACCGATCTTTTGGGGTCTGTCGATTTTTAACCTACGTGTAGCCAGGGCCAAAAGGACCTAAGTTGCATAGACCAAAAAAGTGGCGTCCGGTATGCGGACGCCAAAAGCGGGTGGACGCCAGTTTAAATGCACTTTCGCCTTCATGGGACGTCCAATCGATAGCGGGATGTAAATATATATATATATGTATATATTATATATATGTATATATATAATATATACATATATATATATATGTATATATTATATATATACATATATATATATATATATATGTATATATATAAAAATAGTAAAGATGATGATGACATAAAAAAATCGAAAATAAACTTCTTTTTTACTTCTTTATACTATTAAACAATATTCTTGGAATTTTACTTATATATATTTAAATATATATATGGAAAGCTCCCGAAAAACGCCAACAGGTGATGATTAAAAACCACTTTTAGTTTCACAAAAGTAAGGAATTTAATGTATCTTTAATGTATACTAATAGTTAGTTGCAATCAACTGCTCAAGGCTGATGTTGCATGGATAGAATATAAAAAAACTGAAGAAAATTATAAAAAACTATTTTTTTTTCAGGGTTTTTCGGCATTTGTTCCGTTTACACCCTGTATAGTAAAGAGTTGGTGTGGAAAACCACTTAAGCACCTTCCATGGGATATTCTTATGACAAAGTCGCAGGTTAAAGTTAGTTTGTGTATTAAATTATTTAATTGGACTGGTAACGTGAAATTAACTAGATTAACAGTATTTGTTTAGTTAATTTTGGTAATTAATTAGTTAATAATGATATTGTAGTCCAATATAGAGGTGATGGACATTTCCGTCATTGGACTTTTAATTTTACGTGTTGTTACATTTTATTATCCAATAGATTTATCTGTTAAATTTTCTATACCTAGATCTTCAATCCAACGAAGTTATAGAAAATAAATAATATGATATCATAGTGTACATATTTAAGAAATATAATTATAATATTCTTTCTTATAAATTCATCGAGTGGTGAAATAATTAATCATCAATGCAATTAATATTAGGTGTAATAATGAGCTTATAAAATGTCAACTTTTATTTGCGTCAGCGCATGTTAGAATAAGTAAACTGTTCTTAGACACTTTGATATTAGTGATGCATGGCAGCTAAAGTACTTATGTATATGTGTGCGTGTCTATTGAATGTTTATATAAGTGACTTAGGCATTTACCGCTTATGCGAATGTAAGTACTAAATTTTTAAAGTAAAATGTTAAATTAATAGTTTTGTTTATATTTTAGAGCTAAACATTTTGAATTGATAAAAAACATTTTTGATACTATTATACACTCGTTGGCCGAGTATTCGCAAGTGCGACTGCCGGGCAAGGGGTCTCGGGTTCGATTCCCGGGTCCGCCAATGTATTACTGGGTTTCTAAAAAAACATTCTCAGTAGAAGCACAGTGTCAGGAATTGTGCCAGGTATATTGCAATAGGCTCACCCTCAATTACATGGGATTTATAACATAAATAGTGAAAAGTGGGTGATACATTGTACTGTGGTATTAAGTGTCGTAATTGGCACCTCTACCTACCCGTTCGGGGATAAAAGGCGTGATGTTATGTTATGTTAGAGTTACCCTGAAAGTAAGACACCGCAACTTTACCTATTAAAAGCATCTACCCAAAAGGTAATTGAACAAAAAAAAGTTTTGTATAACCCAATTGTCGGTACAGTTACCAATATTGCAAGTAATAAAATTGTTACCCAATGTTTGCAATACGCAAAAAAGAACAAGATGATCCATTTCGAAATTTGCAACCCTAACATTTCTAACGGTGCACAATAAAAAAGTTTATTTAAAAAAGTTAAAGAATACCGACAAACGATTCGCAGAAAAGAAATTTTGCACAAATGTGTAACAATGGGGGAGTCTCATGATAATTGTTTTATTACGTTTGTTTTACGGACAGTTAGTAACAAACGGTTAAAGTTTTTTTATGACCCGGGACAGTCCGGTGTTGGGTATCGGGTCCGTTATTCCGGACCCGTGACGTCACAATGTTGTTTTAGTTTTTTTTTTGACAAACGGGTTGGAGGCTGGAAGTAGCGCTGCGTTTCCGATTTCAATGTTGTTTTTTTACTTATTAGACAATGCAGTACGATTTATATTTGTTTTTTGAAATGTAATTTATGTTAATGTTGTCAGTTGTCCCATTTAGGTACACTGATATATCAAACCTACCATCGATTGATCTACTAAAGTTTTTCTGTAAATATAGGTCATACTATCAATTTTATATTAAGTTCAAAAGTCCATAACCCAAGGCTTGAGACCAAAATTTATAATTCAAAATTCTGGTCTCATTGACTAACAATAGTTGTGTATAACCACGAACTAAAGGTTAATTTGTTAGACCATTGGACACCGCATTCGTCTCTGCATTGACCAAGTAATAATACAGCCTTCAAAGGTTCTAAAAATAATAACTAACCACAAATGGCAATGAAGCCTATCCTAAGCATAGCATAAGGCCTTATAATCGAGTATTAAAATAATGAATGTGTAGTATCGACATGTATTGACATATTTCGTGTTGTTTCCTAGTGTGTTCATGTTTAATGTATGGTGGGTTGCTGGTCGGGCGTGTCGCCAATACGAGAGCCACACTGGCTCACATCCGTGAGCTGAGGATTCTGATTCAGTATTGTTCACACTTATTGTTGCGTTTTACTGTAATACCTAGATCTCACTTTGCTAGAATTTTAGTCGAATAGCGAGTATTTAGTAGGTGTCTCTCGCTTCTTTCCCAAAATAGAAGCGTATTTAAGTCGTACGAACTGGGCATATGTGGTATGTACATTGATCTTTTTACACTCGTATTCTTAATTTCTTGTGTTATGTTTAATATTTGTTAGTCTTCAAAACTTATATATTTCCATATGTTCACGCTGTAAATGGTTGCGTTATACCAAACGTAATACTTGTTTAAATCTAGAGGTAAGTAGTATAGTATACTTTTCTCCAGATATGTTATGAGTTTTATGTAAAGTGACGTATCATGGTGGCCCGGAGGTTAAGAAGCTTCTAAAGTACTAATGTGACTTTTTCCGAGTTACATGTAAGATTATTTAGACACCACTGACAAACGGTGAAGGAAAACATCTAAGGAAACCTGGACTTATAATTTCTGATTATAAGCTTGTAATCGCCAACCCGCAATGAGCAAGCGTGGTGGTTAATGCTCAAACCTTGTCGCGGAGAACCTAACGGGTAACCGGGGCTCTGGCTTGACGTGAAGGAGAAGGAACGGGGTGGTTTTTAGTCAGTAAGAGTCTGACACTCCCTCCCGCCTCACCCAGACACGGGACCAGTCATTCGATGATTTTCCCGCCTTAAAAAAAATCCGTGTCAGAAGAGATTTTGCTCAGTAGTAGGCACTTATAGGCTGTTGATGATGAAAGTAGCGTAGGCCTATTGCCATACCTAAGTCACAATTCTGGTCTTGTAATTGCTTCGAAATATCGAAAATGTCCCA